CATACACCGAAATGAAAAAGCTCTCAATTCTCTAATTCTTTCCTTTTAAGTTTCTCTATTATCTTCTTTTCTCGATCTTTATTTTCATAACACATTATCAATGCGAATATTCTACTCTTGTTATCGTTAGGTGGGTGCCCTTATAACTATCCACACACCATAAAGTAGTTTCTGAAATTATCAACACTTAAAATAACAAATTATTTTATAATCAAGAATCATAATTACCATGTCTCAATTTGTTCACTTTATTGGGTTAATGAGCAAATAGGACCCTGAATTCTTGCTCAAAAATCGCTCTAACCCTGAACTGTTAAAATATACAAATTAAATCCTAAACTTTTAAATTCCTAGCAAAATAACCCTGACTGTTAATTTTTTAAATGTTGTTACCTATTCATACAGGTACTATTTAGGGTTTATTTTCTTACAAATTTAACCTTAACTGTTACAATACTCCAGTGAACAGTAACGACATTAAAAAAGTTAATGGTTAGGGTTTTTTTTTCTAGGAGGGTTTTTTTTCTAGGAATTTAAAAGTTTAGAGTTTGTTTTGTATATTTTAGGAGTTCAGAGTCCAAGACAATTTTTAAGCAAGAATTCAGGGTCCTATTTGCTCATTGACCCTACTTTATTTGTTATACATATATCTCAATTTCCTACTTCTATTTGAGGTTGCCAATGTTTTATACATGCGTGTGTGTCATGTTATTCTTCGTAATTTCTTTTTTTTATTAACAATTCTTCATAATTTCTAGTATATATATATAATTAGGTTAATGGTCATTTCTATTCTTAAAATGTACAAAAAAGGTCACAAATATTTCTAAACTTAACTATAGGTCAATATCGTCTATCAACTTTAAATATTTCCTCCATCATTACCCTGCCATTTTCTCACCATTAATGAGCCCCATATTAATATTTTTTTAATATTTTTTATTATAAAATATTTGAGTTGATGGGCAAAAATGATCCTTAACCTAATGAAAAATATTTAAAAATAGTGGGACCCACTGATAATTAATAGACATTAAGTATTTTTAATATCAAGATAATGATTGAAGGAATCTTTAAAGTTGAGAGATATAATTGATTCATAATTAAATTTAGGAGCATTTGTGACCTTTTGTGTACATTTTAAAGATAAAAATGACCCTTAACCCTATATAATATGAAGCAACATTGTTTACAAAATTACAATAGATAGAGTATATATAAATATATAATCCGTTGATATCACCTTCTTGTTTACATTTATTTTGTATATAAATAATCCATTGTTCCCTACAATATGCTTGCAATAAAATGATCAGTAGCCATATTATTTTGACGTGAAGCCACATCATTTTTTATTTTTATTATTTTCTAAATGATTAATTTATAGTTGTAATAAATCATATGGCCAGAAGTCATATTTAATTTTATTATTATATGACCAAAAGCCATATTTGATTTTATAATTATGTGGCATGAAGCCATAATTGATCCTATGATTATATGGCCAAAAGCCAAAATTAACCTTATTATCATAGGACTAGAAAAAGCCATCTCAATTTTGATGATGACCATTATGTAAAAGAATAATCTTATGGCCCCAGTGATTGATATAAACTTTGTAAAATTTTGATGAGCATTTTGATTATTATTAATTCAATTTTTTTAATTACTATAGCCTTGAAGGCTAATAGTTTCAAAAGAATTGTCGTGTTAAAAAAAAGTATTTTCCTATAATCCTAAATATTATTGTCAATAGAATTTATATTACAAAAAATTAATGAGTTAATGAGCAAATAGGATCCTGAACTATTGCTCAAAAATTATCCTGGACCTTGAACTCTTAAAATATGCAAAATAATCTTAAACTTTTAAATTAAAACAAAATAAACCCTGACTGCTAACTTTTTAACATTGTTACTGTCCACGCAAGTACTATTTAGGGTTTATTTTCCTAGAAATTTAACCTTAACTATTATAGTATCGGCCGTATAGACAGTAACGGTATTAAAAAGTTAGTAGTCAAGGCTTATTTTACTATTAACTTAAAAGTTTAGGGTTTATTTTATATATTTTAAAAGTTCAGGGTCTAGGGCAATTTTCAAACAAAAGTTCAGGGTCCTATTCACTCATTAACCCAAAATTAATAGTATCTTTTAAAATTTAATATGCTTATAAGCACTTGTTATAATATGGCTTGTAGCCATATAGACAAATTGTCTATTCAGACACCATATGAACCATACAAAGATATAATAGATACATCTATAAATGATCACATGTGTGCATATTAATTAATTCACAACCCAAAGTTTTTGAGGAAAAATTATATTGTATGCACTTTTTTAGCCTAGTGATTGAAATGATTCACTTGAAAATACTAGTAATTTCATATTTCATACTTCAATGAATTTGATATGAAAAAATGCCTATTTATCAGCATGGGATAGCAAAATTATTAAGGCCTAATAAGATGATTAAACCAATATTTGGAAAACAAGATTTTTCATAAAAAAATACAAGCATGCATGTTGCAGCACTTACATGCATCAAGCTAATAAAGTATTGTGAATACCCACTAAAATTGGCTTTCTGACAAAAGCTAAAGATTTTGATCGTGCGAACTCCACCACAATTTAATAGATGTTCAAATAAATTTGGAAGTGAATGTTGCCTAAGATACTTCTTCTTGTTTGTTTCTAAATGAAACAAAATGATATTTCTATAGGAAACAAATGGATCTAGAAGGCTTATGTTGCATGGTTTGTTATCCCAAAATGGATCATGAATAGCTGGAAATGAAAATTGAATGAATTCATTCTCTATATATTTTATAAATCCTCATACATACATACATACATACATATATATGAAGTAATATATATATGAACCAAATGTTCATAAAATGTTATGCATTCATGAAACATTAGAAAATAACTGGCAAAAGTGAATATTGACATAGAGTAGAATTACTAATTTCATGTTCCAACTAACAATGCTCCAATGTATAAAGAAAGGAAAAAAAAAACATTGAGTCACGCCTAAACAATGAAAGGAAAATTTGTTTCAAAGAGGAGTAAGTAATCAAGATGATCAAGGAGGTTAGCATTCTAGAAGAGACCAAGACATAACTAATTTTAAGTTTCCAAAAGAGAATCATGTACCTAATAACAATAAAGAGATAATCTTGAGAAGTTATATCAATATGAGAAATGATGAAACCAAAAAGAATAAAGTTGTTGACAATACTTTCAATGACGATGAAAAATTGCAATCAAATAAGGATTTGATAGAATGTGAATAAAAAGCTTATTAGATTTAGAAAAAAAAATGCAATACAAGTAGAATTACATTCACTTGTTCATGGTATGAAAGTTATAAGCTTATAGTTCAAGCACCTAAAGCGTGATATTATATATGAGCATTTATGAGAAAGAGAAATATGAAATGTATATATATATATATATATATAACTTGACTTTCAATATAAGAATGTCTTACGAAGGTTGAAAATATATATTGATATATTATTGTGGTGGATGAAATGATTTTCAACATGTTAGTTTGGTAATATAGAAATATGGTATGCATCTAATAAATGCTAGCTTAATTTATTTATATGAATCCTTGTATAGCGGTATTTACTTGAAAATTCTAGAAGAGTAGATGATGATAGAAACTTACAAAGATTCTAAATATATTTTCTTTGTCATTATATTTGTTCACATGATTTTATATATTCATTTGTATCAAAATTGATTGATTTAGCATTATTGAATATTATGAAAAGTTTATATGAGCACTTGATTGTTAAAGAAAGATGTTAAAATATTGATTGATTAGACCTAAATCAAGATCATTTTTCTTCAAGAGAATAATGAAATATGTTCTTGAAGTATCTTATATAAATGCTTTCAATCACAAATTGCATTGATTTGCAACGAAGTTATATAAGTGTTATGATATGCTTGAGGAATTATTATGTGTGGTTGTTTTACTTAACTTATTTATGATCAAAATTAAATAATTATGCATATATTTTACATATCTAGTTTGAACTACACAAGTTGACATTCAAGAATTTATTTATTTGTGAGATTACATGTATATCATAATTTTTTATTAGAAACTTTTATTATACTCGCAAAAAATATATAACAAGTGAAAAATGTGTTCATATCTAGAAAATATGTATATATAAAATGTTTCAAAATATTACATGAAAATAATCGTTCATATATAATCCAACCGAAAGAGAATATTAGCTTGCAAAGGCATCAATGACAATAATATTTAAAAAATTCACACACGAGTTTAAGATACAATGACTTAAGAATGCTAAAAAATAAGGAGTCATATCATGATTAGAGTGAATACAAGTTATGTTGTATTCTTTTTTCCTTGACTAATGTTTTGTCTCATTAGATTTTTCTAATAAGGTTTTTAACTAGGCAACGTCAATAAATATAAAAATATTGTGTACTCTTTTTCATTTACTAAGTTTTTTATCCCGCTGAGTTTTTCTTAGTAAGGTCTTAACGAAACATAATATTTGAACATATAAGGAAAGGTGTTATGAACATTGGAGATTTTTGTGGATGTCTATATCTTTAGATTCTCTAATATTTTTTAGTTATTATAATATCTTTAGGTTATTATTATACTATATATTTAGTTTTATTTAATTGATATATTTGTACCTATAAATAAGAGGTACTTTAGTTGTATTCCACTCATCAAAATGAGAAAACTCCCAATTCTTTAATCCTCTTATTCTCTCCTTCTAAGTTTCTTTATTATCTTCTGTCAGTCTTTATTTTTATTACATTTGTAAAATAACTAAATCCGAACCATTTATTTTTAATAAGGGTGAAGATGAGATGAGAAGAGTCGGAAAAAGAGAGATAAGGAAGGAAAAAAAAAAAAAAAAAAAAACAGAGAAGGTACTTGTTTTCTTTCAAAAGAGAAAAAGAAACAAGCGGTTATGGTACCAAAGAAAGAAACAAGCGGTTAGATTCTGCGTGTAAGCGTCTCACTCTCGGGCTCAGATTTCATCTGACTTATAAAGCAAAGACCAAAGTCGTCCCTTGGGCTTTGGACTCACTCTCGCTTGGCGAAAACCCTACACTCCTCCCAAGTTTCACTTGGTTTTGGTCCTCCGTTTCGATCGCTAGTTTGTCTGACTCATCTTCCTTCGGTACTTCCTCTCTACTTGTTTCCGATTACGGCTTCATTGTGTGCGTCGGGGTGGACGAGGATATTTACCGATCTGTTTTCATAGGTAACTCCTTTGAGTGGTAGAAATTATTAAACAGATCTCATCTCGGATGCCTAGTTTTCCATTTTAAATGCAGTTCTGTATGTCTTGTGCGATTACGCCGAAAATTGGTGAATATTTTCTTTACTTGAATTTCCCTATTTTTCTCTTGGAAATTGGTAAAAGCATCCGTTGTCACTCAAATTGATATTTTGTTTCGAGTTTTTATGATTATGGATATGTTTTTATGCCTTTTTTTCCTATTTATAATTGATTTATAGGTTGTGTTTATGCCTGTATCTTTTGTCTATCTTCCTGTTACTCTTCTAAAGGGGACTTTTGGTCATCATTCACGCTCCCGTTTTTACAAAACTTTTAATAATGGTTTGGCTTATTTTCGTACTTATGTCGGAGAGTGGGGATTTTTGATACTAGAAAGGTTTCGGCTTCATGCAAACCAGGGAAGTAGGGGGGATTAAGAGACTCGAATGGTAATACTAGATTTGTCTACTGAACCCAGATAATACTCATATACAATCGTGGTGGACCCGTCGAAGAAATTAGTAATAAAAGTTCATAATGCCATAATCTAATGGCAATATCACCAAAAGGAAAACAAAACAAAGTCGTAAATGGTTAAAAAAAAATAAGAAGAAGAAGAACATAAGATGTGTACCCTTTCTGCTGGCATAGTTTAAAATGCTGTTATATTACTCAGTGGCAATGAAGGGAAAAAGATTTGCGCAATTAGACATTGAAACCTTATTTCAAGGTTTGTCTGACCACTCATTGTGTTATTTGGTTGTCCTAATTACCAGTCTCTTGAATGAATTACTAATCATGTGAAGGGATGGGGAGAATGATAACAAGATGATGACTATTTCCATCTTTAAGTAGAGAATGATAAGTTACTATCAATTTCACATGTTAAATGGAATGTACATTGTAATAGAACATAGATGTGGGAGAAACATGAGGGTGAAAGAGATCAAGAAGAATAGTAAGATTCAGAATTTGGTTGAACTATAAACTTCAGAGTTTTGAGGGGTTGCATTTTAATATATGAGATTCTTTGAGAAATATTGATCACCTGATTCTTTAAGGAAACTTCCTATACTCATGCAGAAAAAAGTATAAATATAGTTCTTGACATGTTGATGACATTCAAGGAGCAGTCTTTTCATGTTAGTTTTACTAGTCATATCTAATGCTGCATAACACCTGGCCTGCTTGTCTGACCATGCATGTCCCTGTCTTTGTTCTCATGAATATGACTGAAAGCATTAGGCAGCATGGGCATGAATAATTCTAATGTTAAGTTAATTGATCACGAATTTAGTGTCTATTTTTCATCTCTTATAATAATTTAATCTTCAACATTTGCCAGGCAGCTTCATACTTGAAGGAATGATATGAATTATCTATTCTTTTGTATGAAACATAGGAGAGTGATTTAGGCATTTAGCATTGATGATGAGGATATTCTGCCATTATTCGTTTGGATATTTGTAATCTCTATAATGATTCCCTAAATATTTTTGTCACCTTGATATACTTTTATCTGTGAAACCAATGTTGGATAAAGAAAATAGCATCTTATGTGTATGACACTCTAAAATCTTAACTTGTCATAGTATCTTTCTTGGCAATTTTTTTTTTTTTGGGTAACCAATAGACATGTGACTTGTTTGAGGAGAGAAGTTAATGCGTACACTTGCTCAAACATCTGCAGTCAATGCCTGCACTTACTTCCTTTTAGCAAAAAATGAATGATACTAATGAAAAAGATCAGGTATCCTCAAAAGAAAACAGCCTTCATAATAAGAAATCAAAAACTGAAAGGAAAAAAGAAAGTCAATGTCTATTATATGTTGTGTCATTTTGCTATATTTGTGCTTTCTGCTGACTAATCACATTGAAATGCATATCCTTTGTCTACTTTTCGTGCTTTATATATCTGCAAGCATGGTGGTGCTTCTTCCTTTGTGCAAGTGTTTTGGTTGAATTAAATGCAAGGTCTTCTGGAGAAACTTACATCCTTGTAAATTTTTAAAGATTATGTTTTAACTATTCAATATTCATGGGCCTTCACTTAATATATTTTTTTTCTTGGCTTATAAAACACAGTGATACCAAAGGTGGGCACTGAAGCAAGACATTATTCACTACCAGCACCTCTCTCCGTTGCCTTCAATCAAGTTTTGTAAGGTGAGTGCTTTTTGGTGATTTTCCCATTGATCCAAGAGTGCACTTTAGGTGCCTTTGTGTTTGCAAGCAACAAGAAAAGGTTCAACTTATAAGCCCAGCCCAAAAATATAAAAATAGTAACAAGATTAAACAAGAAACTACAACACTGAACCTTAGAAGTCTTACTTGGCCTTAGAGATTTAGCAGAATTGGATAAAAAGTTATTGTTATTTTAAAAACTATTTATATGGCATTTATTTATTTTAAAATTTATATCACAACAACAAGCCTTATTCTCCTAAGTGGGGTCGGCTATATAAATTATATGACGCCATTGTGCTCTATTATTTATTAAGCTTTTATAAATATTGTTAATTAAAAGGTCTTGCTCAACAACCTCCAAAAGTTTTCTCTTTAGTCTTCCTCTACCTTTTTTGATAGGGCTCAAAGTCATCTGTTTCACTCTTCTAAAATTAATATCAAATTTTAAAAATTGACTCGTATTGGGTTTTGTTTATATAGCAAATATATTACTTTAGCCTGTTGCTTCACTCAGGCGTGCACCTTTTCAGTGCCTTTAACTCAATGAATTTGAAAGGTCTAATTGATTTAGAGGAACCTTTCAATTCTGACTACCTTGCTTTTTCAGTTGAAGTGGTCTTTTGGCGAAGTTCTGGGTTCCAAACATGGGAAGCCGAGAAAGGATATGGGTAGATCCTGTTATTGGCGAGCGCTATTTAAGTAATAATTTCATGATTGACATTGTCAAAGTTTTCCAACTTTAAAATTTCAAACGGTCGGATTAATCTTAATCTGAAGTATAGAAAGACACAGATCCTAATCAACTTGTTACTGAGATTTGTGCTTTACAGCCCAAAACATGTAGCGAGCACATTGTTGTTACTATCATATATTCATTTTAAAACCAAAAAAAAAAGAAAAAACACAAATTGGGTGTGGCTTAAATACCCCACTGTTGAGTGAAACCGGCCATGTTTTCCTTTTCAACATTCAAAACATACCTCCTAAATCCTAAAGGTTTTTTAACTTAAGTTTTTTTCCCCATATTTCTGGCCCTTTTCACATAAAGCAACATGATACAGTTCTGATTGACATTTTGTCCCCTTATTCAACTTTAGGCTTCTGGGTAAAGTATATTTTTTTCTTGCTACTTCCATCTTCCCCTCCCCCCAAAATACGTATATATATAATTTGATTGACTATAAATTCAGGTATTTGCTTAATATGAAACAACAAGTCTTCAACAAAGCTAATGTTAAGAAGAATGTGGAGAATCTGCTTGAAGGATCTAGTAGACCAGAGTCAAGTGGCAAAAATGCTCACCTGTCAACGAATGCCAAATCAAGATTTGATAAGAGATCCCAGCCTAGTAAGCTTAAAATAAAAAAGAATAAAGGACTTTACCAGAGAAAGAATAAAGCAACAGTGGTAGAGAAAGAAATTTCTCACCATGGGAATGAATATGACAAGAAACGAACTTCACAAGACAGTCAACAGAAGAGAACTGCTGATGAGCAACCTATGGAGAACAGCAAGCAGGTAGCCAATAACAATGAGGATAGTCAAAATAAGAGCACTAGTGATAAACATTTTACCAAGCAGAGCCATCATGCTCAGAATAGTAAGTTGAAGAGTAACGAGTCAAATAAGAGTAAACCAGAACAGAAGAACAGAGGAGAGCATGGAAAGTCAAACAAGGGTGCGAATTATAAAACAAATAAAGACGAGCAAAGAAGCACAGAGAAGGTTCATTTGAATGAAGGAAAGAAAGAAAAGCTTGGTGGCTTAATCTTCATGTGCAGTGCAAAAACAAAGCCAGACTGTTTCCATTACCGAGTTATGGGTGTTTCCAGTGGTAAAAGGATGTTGTTTTAGGAGTCAAGCGTGGGCTTAAGCTTTTTCTTTATGATTTCGATCTTAAGCTATTATATGGGATATACAAGGCTACATCTTCTGGGGGCATGAAACTTGAACCCAAGGCGTTCAATGGTTCCTTTCCTGCTCAGGTTTCTGCCCTTGTTCTTTTTCCTGCCAGTTCCTTCCTGCACTTGCGCAAATAATTCTCATTCCTATTTTGTCAAGATTCATGTGCTTACAGCTAGCTCTGAACTTTCAGGTCCGATTCAGCATTGAGAAGGATTGCCTCCCACTGCCCGAGAGCATTTTCAAAAGGGCTATCAAAGAAAATTATGATGAAAAGAACAAGTTCAAAACTGAACTTACTGTCAGGCAGGTGAGAATCAATTGTTTCCTTTGGTGAATAGGCTGTTTGTTTTGCTTGATTCTCTATCATCAATTATACTTTTTACATTCCTTTTCAGGTTAGGAAACTCACAGAGCTTTTCCGACCAGCAGCACGTCATTCAACTATGCAGCCTAGTCACGCCCCTCCAAAAGTATTAGCTTACGATAGGGAAGCTTCTGACAGTGTTAAGGGACAATGGTCTCATTTGCATAGGGAAAGATCTGACCGAGATCCCTATGCAAATAGCCATGGGACAAGTTATAATGCTCTGCCGCATGAAAGAGAACGGCGTGATTTATTTCTGACTGAAAAAGATTATCGAGCTTATGGTCTTCAAGGAGATAGGCGAAATCTGACTCCCCCTTCTCATGTGAATCCCATACTGGAACCATACAAGAGAGATCATGGAAGAGAGCACCTTCATCAACTGGACTCTATCTACAGGGATGACGTCCCATCACAATCACATGTCGAAAGACTTCGCACTGATCCTCTGTATTTAAATGAGAGGGAATACGATGCTTATGGTCATCGTGTAAGAGATGACTACCGATATGGTGCGTCATTGAGGGACCCCTATTCTCAGCCTTCGTATGGATATGAATTCTCTTCAAGCTCTTCAGTTGATGGAAGAACCATGAGCAGGGATGATGACTTGCACAGGAGAGAAACCATTCAAGATAGGCCATACTCAACATATGCTGCTGGAGCTTTGCCAGAGTATAATCAGATGCGGCACTATGACCGAGCCCAGCCAGTATCCATGCCGGCGCCAGTTTCTTCTCGCTATGCATTCGATGGGCCTTCACATTCATATCGGTAACTTGAATTTGCATTTGGCTTCCTGTTGTACTCCTCAAGATTGTTTTACTTTGTAATTAACAAGACATCATGACAAGAAGCACGTGGCCGAAGTATTTATCAGGTACCACCTGAGAATTGGGGATAGCATGATTTACTAGTTGTGTCTGAACTGTGAAGCTGTAAACATTGCATGTGTGCTTGCCAGTTGCTATTGAAAATAGCCTACTTATGCCGCACGCGTGCGTGAGGCTAGGAAATTTTCAAGGCTATTTCATGTATTTAGTAATTTTACCTTGCTGATTGGTAAGCACACTTTGTATCTATATATTATAATTACATGCTTGTTTGATGAATAGGAATATGGGTAGTGATGCTTAAACTAGTCTCAGCAACTTATTAGGTCTATGAATGTGGTATAATTAAGCAGATTGGAGATGGTTTAGGCACTCGTTAATTATTCGGTGATTTTTGGACATTGAATTGAGTTTTATTTTGCTTTACAAAAAATATCACAAGTATCTTGTGATAAGTGATAGCAAATTTTCTGTTGCTTTCATTTTTCTTCAATATCACAAGTTACTTGAAAAAAGGAGTAGTTTTTTGGGTTAAAGTACAATTTCAACTTTAAATTATAGATTTAGAAGATTTTGGAATTCTCAACTCATTTTTGATGCAATGTTTTCCTTTAATTTTTAAAAATGACACAACATTGCTCTTATTGTTAAGTTAATTTTGACCATTAATTAATTAAAGAGTTACATATAAAAATGTTAAAAATTACAAAACATGATTGAAAAATTATAGAAAAGGTCTTAAAATTACATATAAAGTTATAGAAAGTGACTAAGAAATATTTTTGGTTTTTTCTATACTTTTTGATATTCCTTTCTTTAATATTTTAGTTAACTAATGATAAAAATTAACTTCTGTCACTGGCAAGGATAATATTACTTTAAAAATGAGTTTAGTATCTCAAATATTTTTGGTTTATAATTTAGAGGTAAATTTGTTGTTTAACCTAATTTTTTTAAGCATTAACTTGTAAGATTTGTAAGTTTTTAAAAACTAAAACAAAATAGATTTGACAATTGGGAACCAATCTATCAATCTAGTTCGATAACTAGATTGGCTTTGGGTGCATTTGCAGTAAGTTTAGGAAGAGTAACTATTCATGATTTGTGCACAATGTTATGTTGACATACAATTAATATTAATATGATGTCGTGATGATTAAGAATTTAAGATGACCAAATTGCAATCCTGATTTGTCAAGTGCATGCCAAAGAATATTCATATAAATATTTGAGGAAATGTACCTGACTTATTTAATTAAGTAGACTTAGCTAAAAGTTTGAATCTGACTTAAGTCTATTTGATAAATAGGTTAGGTTAAGTATAAAATAGGCTAAACTATAAATCTCATTACAAGCTTGATCTATTCTCACTCCTAGCCTCTAGAAACTATTATCAATGCAAAACTAAACCTAAAGGAGTAGCCCATTTATTTAATAAATAACAATTTTGGGCCTGCCTTAATTTTTGTTAAGGGAAAAAAAGTTTTTTTTTAGACAAATAAAAAAAATATTTTTAACTAAAAGGAAAAATCAATGAAATCATTCATTCATTTTATATTTCAATATATGATTAAATATATAAAATGTTAAGTTATTTATATATTATCAGTCATTCTTTATTTATTATTTATTATTTTTTGGGATAAACAAAGAAAACAAAAGACAGCTACTTTATAGCACAGGAAGGAAGAAATTAAAACTAGGCTCCTCCTTGGCAAGACCATATGAGGTAGCACCTGTGCTCGTTTTGCAAGGTGATTAGTTTCCACGTTTTTCTCTCTTCGAATATAGCCAAGCTGGACAATCTAATCTCGAAATAGTATATTATGGCATTTAAGGATTAAGTTTCCATTCTCATGAGTGTAATTGCCCCTAGCCTTGATCGAATTAATAGATTTCAAAAAGTCACTTCACAGAAAAACCTTTCAAAATCTTTCATTTCAAGCTCGTTGGAGTCTAATAAGACAAGCCTAAAGTTCAGTAAACAAAAAAGCTTCAAATGGAGATTTATGATTATCTCTAATAAGACCCTCATGTCACTAATGTAAGAATAAGCCCATCAACATGAACCATAATCCCTTCATTCTTCAAGACTCCATGAAGATTGACTTGTCTCAAGCATAGCCGTGCATCACTATAACTAATGACAATAGGCTTAGCCATCATATAAAGTTGTTAAGTGCATGCCAAAGAATGGTCAAGATCTATATAATTTTTTCAATCAAGGTAATTTTGGTTCAAGTACTTGTTGTTATCAAATATTATTACTTATTAATTTCTTAATAGAAAAAAAAACTTTAGGGGCAAAAAACTATGTTTCTCCTAAATATTTGGATAAAAATATTAAATATCTAATTATATATTCTAAGGGGTTAATGAGCAAATACAACCCTAAACTCTTGTTTGAAAATCATCCTGGACTATGAATTCTTAAAATATGTAAAATAAACCCTAAACTTTTAAATTCATAATAAAATAAATCCTAATTGTTAAATTTTTTAATACCGTTACTATCCATACAGGTATTGTTTAGGGTTCATTTTTCTACAAATTTAACCCCGACTGTTATAGTACTCACATAAATAGTAACGGTGTTAAAAGAGTTAACGATCATGGTTTATTTTATTATGAATTTAAAAATTTGGAATTTATTTTGCATATTTTAAGAGTTCAAGGTTCAAGACGATTTTCAAGTAATAGTTCAGGGTCCTATATACTCATTAACCCTATTCTAAGCTATCACATTATATAAATGCAACAATGTTCTTATTTTCCATCTCTACAAAACCATGCATGAATGGAGGCAATTTTACAATTGATTTTTGGGAGAACAGAATTAAAATTTTGTCTCATGTTTCATCCTATGATAAAAGTTGTCCTGTCATTTTTGAAATCAAGATGGGATAGAAATGTCCTAGTAAAGCAGACAAAGCATGGAAACGAGATCTATATACTAAAATTTATTAAATTACATAATTTGTTAAATTTAAAACTAAAATAATACGAGTTTATAAATGTAATTATTGAATTATAAAAACTATAATTTAAAGTGAAAGGACACAATCACAATAACCACATTTTAAATCAAGTACACAACAATTATAAATAATTTTTAGAGTACAAATATAACAATCAAATCATCGAGTTATACAATTTGAATGAGTAGATGGTTATATAAAAAGAAAAGGAATTAAATAAATAAAAAAAAGTTTATAATCTGGCCTAACTGAATAAATAAAGTATTAAATACTATTAATAAATAATAAATAAAATAATATATTAGAGATGTGATATCTTTATAATATCTCGAGTCTTGTCTTGCCCCAAATATATTTTTGTCGTAATGAAAAGTTGCATCCCTTTTTCATGAGGCATAATAGATGTATCTTGACATGATTGAGATAGAATTAGATTGACTAGGACGAGGACAAACACGAACACATTACAGTTAATCTAGCTGTTTCCCAATTCACGCAGTCAAATTTTCTTTCTTTGTTCCTTTTTTTTTTTTTTGGGTTAGATTTAGCTTGCATTTCTCTTTTTTTTTTTTTTTTGTAATTACCATGGGCAAGCAAAAGCTTGCGAGTACACTTTAGTTGCATTTCTCTGCGTGTTGATGATAAAATATGTTTTTAATTGTTTAAAAGATCAATTATGAAAGTTATGCTAAAAACAAAAACACAAACATACAATTGTACAGGTTATATATTGATCATTCATATTAAAAATTTTGATACCATGAAAGAAAATTATGTTAATTTTTTATTTAGTTCATGATCGAACAAGCAATTAAATTATTTTTTTAACACACTAGTTTCTTGCTTCTTTCCTTTCAATTTGATCACTGACTGCTTAAATTTATGTATTCATATAACTTATTTATTCACTTGCTCAAAATGGGTTAAAAAAAAGATGGGAGAATAATAGAAAAATCTTAAAAAGATCAATTAATCTAAGTTAGGTTTCAAGTGTCAAATTTTAAAAAATTACAACTCAATTTCTCAATTTTGCAACTCTGTTGTGATGAATTTGTAATTTATATTTCAAATTTTAATAAAAAAAGTAAATTTTTTATACTTCAACCATGTTAAAATTTAAAAAATAAGTTGTACATTAATCACAATGCAATTACAAAATTAAGAGATAGATTTGTATATTTTTGTAGAATTTGACACTTGAGATTTAACTTGAATCAATTGATTCTTTTAGGATCTCTTTATCATTCTCCCAAAAAAAGATTTCTATTTGAGTTTTAAAAAATGATGTGCATTTGATGGTAAAGGTAACACTTGTCAAAGTTTGCTAACATAAATAAAAAAATATTAATGGTAATCATATAGATTAATAAAAAATGCAATTATTTAAATAATAAAAAAGCAAGCCCAAAAATTTTAAAAAATAAAAGAACAAATGCAATGTAACAAAATAGACTGATAAAAGTTAAACTAATTTGAAAGTTAATTTGCTTTTATTTTTCTACGTATACATGAAAACTTATTAATATACTTTACACATTATATTAATTTAAGAGTTAACTTATGTTTCAAAACTTAAAATACTAACATGATATTTTAATAAATGTAAAAGATCAAATCGATAGCAATTAAACTTAAGGGATTAAATTAAGAAATAAGTCAAATGGATCTAAGAGTAATTAATTATTTTGAGTGAGACCTTAAAATAATTCTCCCTTCTTTTTTTCCTTTATTTTCTTTTTCCAGTTCAAAGAATGTAGATATCATTTTTCTGTCCTTATTTAATTTGAAGGAGCACAATAATGGCTGCTAAAAGGAAGAATCCATGGGAAAAACAACACACACAGTGCCAAAATGAGGGGAGGAAGCAAAGCAAAGCCTCTTTGGAAGATTTGAACTACCATAGCCATATGCAAAAGTTCCAACCTCCCACATGATGGATCAATGTGAAAGGAGTAACAAACAATATAATACTCAAGTACGAATCTCAAAAGCTACCAAGTAACGCTCAGTTCAACTAGTTGGAAGAATTTGATTAACATTTTAAATTCAAGTTTTGGGATATATGATCACATTAAATAAATATATCAAGTGCTTCTTCGAGTTATTTGTGAGGCCAATGTTAGTGATAACAATTCTATATAATGTGGAGTTCGATTTGGGTAAGACATGATAATGCCCCAGATTTCCCAATATAATATACCAAGCAATGGAATTTTTTTTAAAAAAAAATCTCAAGAAGCTAATATATTGAGTTGTGTGGAGCATGTATCATAGGCCGTCATTTCTACTATCGCTATAATGCT